GAGGAGGAACTAAGTAGAGGAGGAGGAACTAAGCAGAGGAGGAGGAACCATGCAGAGGAGAGGGAACCACGCAGAGGAGGAGGAACTAAGCAGAGGAGGAGGAACTAAGTAGAGGAGGAGGAACTAAGCAGAGGAGGAGGAACCATGCAGAGGAGAGGGAACCACGCAGAGGAGGAGGTGGAACCACGCAGAGGAGGTGGAACCAGGCAGATGCTGAGAACCTTCTCAGGCTCCTTCATGCTCCTCACCTGCAGCTCCTCCTGCAGAGACTCGTTCATCTTGTTGATCTCCTCCACCTCCCTCAGCAGCCCGATGGGGGAAAAGAACTTGGGCCTGGAACAGAAGGAAGGAGGTTCAGGAGGAGAACCAGGACAGGCGTTGGGTGTGAGATGCTGGAGAAGCGGTACCGGTGTTTCTTCATGGTGAGGCTGTAGCCTGAGGCGGAGCACGGAACAGACGCCTTCCAGTAGCCCTGCTGCTCCAGCAGACCCAGGTTGGTCACCAGGACAGGAACGCTCATGAAGCGCCTGCACAGAGGAGCAGACGGTGAAGATCCTGAACCTCCACCCATCTGCCGAGGCCAGACACCATCACCTGCTGCAGGAGGTGAAGGCGGAGTACTCCATCCGGTGGGTGGAGTCCGTCTGAGTCACTCTGCTGGACGTCAGCAGGAAGAAGATCATGTGAGGGTTCTGAAGAACCGCCTTCAGCTTCTCGTGGACCAGCTTCTCCCTGAAGGTCATGTGCTGCTCAGAGTTCCTGCGCTGCCGGTACCAGCCCACCACGCTGTCCTGAACATCAAAGCTGCAGTCAGAACCGGTCAGAACCAGAACCCGTTACATTCTGCTCAACTGGTCGGTTCCTGAGGCTGTGGAGCTAAACTGGACCAGAAAGATTAACCAAAAGGAAAGACGTGGGGGCGGGGCTTAGATGGCATGGCTGGGGGAAAATGGCTGACAGTTGAGGCGCATGGAGAGGATATTCCCAGATGCTGCATTCAGGAACTGTTGGAAACTAGAAATGTCTTTAAAACATCATTAATATTCAATGTTTATCTGATTGGTTTTGAAAAGTAACCGGATCTAAACTCCACAGAGGATGTTTGAGGTGTAACTTCTTCATCCTTCCACTTCTCAAAAGGATGGATGATGAATGGGTGGATGTTTGACGGATGATGGGATGGGTAATGGATGGACACTCCCAGTGGGCCTCAGCAGATGGCCGCTAACACTGAGCCTGGTTCTGCTGGAGGTTTCTTCCTGTTCAAAGGG